CTTTGGTGGTTGGTGATTTTGAAGTTTCTGGAAGTGATCGTGATATCATTATAGAAACACAATTTGGACAGCTACAAAGGATAAATGAACTAAATGTTGCATATTTAGGACTACAATATCCTTTGCTTTTCCATATGGTGAAGATGGATACAGAGAGGATATTCCTTTAAGTCATGGCGATGAATCATCGAGAGGAAGGCAATGTGTTAGCATGCGAGAATTTTTCGCTTATAGAATTCAGGAAAGAAAAGATGAAGTTCCCACCATTGTGTCTTCAGGAAGATTATTTCAGCAATTTTTAGTTGATGGTTATACAATGATAGAATCTTCTCGGTTGAAGTTTATCAGGACTCATCAAAAGCAATTAAGAGTTGATTCTTATAAAGTCCTAGCAGATGATATTTTGCATGGTGACATCGATCCTTCATCCCAAGGTAAAAGGATAATTCTACCTTCAAGCTTTACAGGGGGTGCACGATATATGGTTCAGAATTATCAAGATGCTATGGCAATATGTAAATGGGTCAGGTACCCTGATCTTTTTATCACATTTACTTGCAATCCTAAGTGGCCAGAGATTACTAGATTTGTGGAGAGCAGAAACTTGAATCTTGAAGATCGTCCAGACATTTTAAGTAGGTTGTTCAAAATCAAATTGGACCACTTAATAAAGGATTTGAGAGATAATCAAGTTTTTGGACAAGTAAAAGTAGGTACACAACATTTACAATTTATTTTAAATAAACATGATAATTTATATGAATCAGATAATTGTTTTTTTTAATAAACTTGCTTAGTTTCCAATGCAGTGATTTATACCATTGAGTTCCAAAAACGAGGACTACCTCATGCTCATATCTTACTTTTTCTTCACGAGCATAATAAATTTCCATCTGCATCAGATATTGATAGAATAATTTCGGCAGAAATACCAGATAAAGTGGATGATCCTAATTATTACAATGCCGTTAAAAATTTAATGATGCATGGCCCATGTGGTTCTGCTAGGAAATCTTCTCCTTGCATGCTGAATGGTAGATGTACAAAGCACTTTCCTAAAAAGTTTGTTGAGGCCACAACGGTTGATGAAGAAGGGTATCATGTTTATAGAAGAAGGGATAATGGTAGAACAATTATGAAAAATGGTATTGATTTGGATAACAGGTATGTGGTGCCACACAATCGCTTTTTATTATTAAAATATGGTGCTCATATCAATGTTGAGTGGTGCAATCAAACAAGATCCATTAAATATTTATTTAAGTATGTCAATAAAGGTCATGATCGTGCAACTGCTGCTTTTTCTCAAAGTACTCATGACAATGGTTCATCAACCGTTGATGAAATCAACATGTATTATGATTGTCGCTACATATCCCCATGTGAAGCTACTTGGAGAATATTTAAGTTTCCTATTCACCATAGAGAACCATCAGTGGAAAGACTATCATTCCATCTTCCAAATGAACGAAATGTCATTTTTTTCTGATGATGATCCAATTGATAATGTTGCCAATAGACCAACTGTGAAGGAATCAATGTTTTTGGGATGGTTTGAGGCAAACAAAAATTTTCCGGAAGCAAGAGATTTGACTTACGCAGAATTCCCTCTTAAATTTTGGTGGAACCAAAAATTAAAAAAATGGGAAAAGAGGAGAAAATCTGAATTTTCTATTGGGAGGATTTTCTTTGTTACTCCTGGAAGTGGAGAGATATATTATCTTAGATTGTTGTTGAATGTAATCAAAGGTCCAACTTCATATGAACAACTTAGAAGAATTAACAATCATGACTATCTTACTTTTAGAGATGCATGTTATGCACTTGGGTTGTTGGATGACGACAAAGAGTATGTTGATGCTATAAAGGAGGCAAGTACTTGGGGCATGCCATCTTATCTAAGACAGTTATTTGTCATGTTATTGTTATCAAATTCAATGTCACGACCAGAAATTGTTTGGCAATCATCGTGGGAGTTATTGTCAGAAGATATTCTCCGTGAAGAAAGAACATTATTGAGTAATCCAGGTATTAAAAGATAAAATTATTAGATTAATTTTTTTTTAGTGCTATATGTTAAACAAGGAAGAAATATTAATACTTCATAACTTCTATAATATTCTACTTTGTTGAATTTGGTATTCATATAGATGAAGACCACTCTCTGTTTTTAACTATTGATAAAGTCAATTTCATTAATTTTATAATACCGATTTTTTCTCGCTACATTTTGTTTTTATATGTTCTAAACGACATCACAAATTTCAGCTTTTTCTTTTGAGTTATTGTAATACATGTAGTTAAAAGAACTAAAATATAGTACTCTAGATTTATGCTTAGACATGTTATTCTATAACAAATTAATGATCTGTATGCAAAAGCAAACAACCTATATATACATAAAACTACATGGTTGAGTTTTAAATATGAGTATATATTTTATTTTGAACTTTAACATTTTTATGTCATGCAGCGGCAGAGTTAACAGATGATGAATTGAAAAATCGTTGCTTGAAAAAGCTGGACAATATTTTAAAAAGTTGTGGAAAAAGTTTTAACGATTTTCCGACAATGCCAAGACCATATTACAATGAGGAAGAATTTGATGGTGCTAACAGACTAATTAATGAGGAATTGCGCTATAATAGGCGCTCTTTGACACAAGAGCATGAACAATTAATAATGAAATTAACAGTCGAGCAAAAGTCTGTTTATGATAAAATCAGATTTGCAGTGATTGAAGACAAAGGAGGGTTATTCTTTTTATATGGTCATGGAGGAACTGACAAAACTTTTATCTGGAAAACATTGTCTTCTAGCGTACGATCTAAAGGCGATATAGTGATAAATGTTGCTTCAAGTGGTATTGCTTCTCTTTTGTTACCAGGAGGTCAAACTGCACATTCAAGATTTGCGATCCCTCTAAATCCAACTGAAGATTCAACATGCAATATAAAACAAGGTAGTCCTTTAGCAAAGTTGATTGTGAAGGCAAAATTGATCATTTGGGATGAGGCACCAATGATGCATAAATACTGTTTTGAAGCTCTTGATCAAACTCTTAGAGATATTCTAAGATTTAAAGATCCGTCAAATTTAGATCGGCCATTTGGAGGTAAAACAATTGTTCTTGGAGGTGACTTTAGACAAATTTTGCCTGTAATTATAAAAGGTACTAGGCAAGAGATTGTTAAAGCAACTCTAAATTCTTCATATTTGTGGCCCCACTGTCAGATTTTAAAGGTAACAACAAATATGAGATTGCAAGAAAATAGATCTGGTGCAGATTTGGATGATTTAAAACAATTTTCTGATTGGATCTTGGCAATAGGTGATGGAAATATTGGATGTTCCATTGATGGCATTGAGAAAGTAGAAATACCCGACGATCTTCTCATACATAATTGTGATGATCCAATATCTGGAATTGTAGAAAGTACATATTCTGATTTCTTGAGACATTTCACAGATATAAAATACCTTCAAGAAAGAGCAATTGTTGCACCAACACTTCAGATGATGGAATCGGTGAATGATTACATGGTTTCTCTCAACAATAGCCAGGATAAATCATATTTAAGTTCGGATACAATTTGTATGTCTGATCATGCATTTACATCTTTGGAACATGTACATACACCTGAATTCCTAAATAGTATTAAATGTTCAGGTATTCCAAATCACTCTATCACTTTGAAGGTAGGTGTTCCTGTGATGTTGNATGATGTTGTTAAGAAATATAGATCAATCGTCGGGATTGTGTAATGGTACTGTCACACCTCCTTTTTGCGCGCCCGGCCCCGAAGGGTTAAAATGCGCGGGTGGAGTTTTT